AGGAAGAAAGGGATTATGCAGTTTTTATTATTATATTGATAGATGAAAAAATGAAACATTTGTGAGGAAGAAAGGGATTGCGTAGTTTTTATTATTATATTGATAGATGAAGAAATTAAACATTTGTAAGGAAGAATGGGATAACGAGGCCCGTGTCCCTTGTTTTATCGCTACAATAACATCCAATTAACACCTTCAACTTTGTACACGCGTCAGACTATACAATTACACGCGACAGAATATACAATCATTGTAAATAGTGAACACCTGTTGAAAACTCAAGATTGTCATTAATTTCCTTTAATCTTCAATTAACATTTAACTATGCATAAACATGATAAATATCATTAAATGAGGCAATACACAAAATAAAATGATGAAAAATATTCACATCTTAATTATGTTTTCCTCTTGTTTGATTTCAGTTCTTACACAAATTTCACAATTTGTGTCTGTATTATCTGGACAATGATGCACAAATAATGCATTTTGCAAGTTTACTAGTTATATATTGTACAAAGAGAGTTTTAAAAACAAATTATAAGATAAATATATTATTGTTCTAAAACACAAGTAAAATTAATATCATAATACGACAGGGTAAACGTTATACTTGCTTTATACATAATAAATAATAAAATATCACAAATAAATGTCGCAATTAGATCTATGTTTCAAAAATTTTTTCTATCTATTTATTGATAGAATATTATTTTTCTTGTCGCTAACATTGTTTTCGTTTGCATATTCTTTTAATATTTATTTGGAATAAGTAATTTTGATAAAAAAAAATGTTTTCTTGTCGCTAAATAGTTTTCTTGTCGCTTCTTGTCGCTAAATTATTCTTCTTGTCGCTTCTCGACGCTTCTTGTCGCTAAAATTCTTCTTGTCGCTAATTAGTGAGACCGGGTTGAAGTCGCCATTTTGGTAGGCGGCCATCTTGGTTTACGCGAGTTGTTATGATTTGGTTTTTTACTATTTTGTTGTTTTCTTTGCAGTCTGTACTCTACAACGGCTGCTTTCAGGGCCAGGCTGATCAGCTTGGCAGCCCGCTAACTGTGTTGCTGTTTTACTGGTTAATGAATCGCGGACTCAGTGGTGAATGTCCACAGGAAGCCTTGTCAGGTCAGGAACAGTGTGGTAGGTATCCGAAATGTATGATGTGCAACACGTACTGATTGACTGTAGTTCTACCACGATGGAAAACTGTTCCATTACCCAACACCACGGATACAGGGTCCTCGGTCGTCTGAGCGACATATCACTCCCCCATCCACAATGGGTTTTGGAGTGCATGCTGACGTGGACCATTTACAACTTGTTGTACTGTACAGCGTTGAAGCAGTTTACTGTGAATATAAATCAGTGTGTCGTTGAACCATACGCCCAGCGTAACATCTTGCAGCTAGCAGATAATGAGGAGCTGTTCCAGCACCTCCTTTCAGCTGTAAGGACTGAGACGTGACTGGATTGTGATTGAAATTTTACATTTGTAGTTGAACCTATTTTTATAAAAGATTTATACACCATACTTATGTAATTTTTAATAAAAAAATGTGTTCTTGACAAGTACACCTATTGTAATTCAAATACACATCATATTGTAACTTGAATATCTAATTATATTATATCATTTATAAATTGCATGGCATTGACTGGATAGGATATCAATAATGATCACTTCACTGCACTATTTTGTTTGAACTATCAAAGGTAGTGATAAACCTAGGAAGATATAGATATCAAGTCAGCACCTTAGGGTTTTGATTGCATTTCATGCAAACTTTACCCAAAAAACAATAAAATGCTTCGCTGAGCGCAGCCTGATACGACCGCAGAGGTAGAACCCTGAACAGTTGGGGCAAATTTGGACACTATATTCAAGCTTGATACTGTCTGAATTTGGATTGTGATCAAATTTTTGACATAATATAGGTTTCTGAAACAAAATAAATGTGGTCAAGGATCTTATAAATCCATTGCGCATAACTGTGCAATTGAAGATTTCTTCTTGAAACTTTTAAAAAATTCGAAATTTTAAAAATTTTGAAAAAAAAATAAGAATCCCTTAAAAACATTGTGACCCAACCCCCCCTTTTTGAAACCCCCCTTGGAGCAATAACCACAAAACTCAATCCCGGCCTTTCCTTTGTAGTATGGAACCTTGTAGTACAATTTCAGAGAGATCCATACACTTACACACAAGTTATTGTCTGGAAACTAGAAACATGCTTGTTTTTGGCCCTTTTTTGGCCCCTAATTCCTACATGTTTGGGGCAATTAACCCCAAACTCAATCCCAGCCTTCCCTTTCTTATATGGAACCTTGTGGCACAATGTCAGAGAGATCCATACACTTACACACAAGTTATTGTCTGGAAACTAGAAAAATGCTTGTTTTTGGCACTTAATTCCTAAACTGTTGGTCCCATATCCCCTAAAATGAATCCCAGCCTTCTACTTGTGGTATTAAACATTGTGGTACAATTTCAGAGCAATCGAAATACTTATACACAAGTTATTATCCTGAAACTAGAAAAATGCTTGTTTTTGGCCCCTTTTTGGGCCCCTAATTCCTCAACGGTTGGGACCATCATCCCCAAAATCAATCCCAACCTTCCTTTTGTAGTATTGAACCTTCTTAAAAAATTTCATAGAGATCCATTCACTTAAACTAAAGTTATTGTCTGGAAACCAATGTGTCTTCAGACGCAGACACAAACGACATCATACCATTATACGATCCCAAAAAATTTTTTGCGGTCGTATAAAAACAACAGAAATATTTAGATGAAAAGGGGGATCCATTCCCAAGCCTGTGGATTTGGTATCCAGCATGGCATTTACAAAATGTCAGACTGTATTAAATATTAAATAAATGTTATAAAGAAACAGAACTCAAGAATGGTAAAAGTGATCGGTGTTTTGTGGTAATAAGCATTGTGTATAAGTTTCATAACATTTGGTTGAGGTAAACTTAAGTTAAAGGGAAACAAAAAATTCAGCAATTTTTCCACTTGTAAAAGGCTTAACTCTAGAACAGTAAAAGTGACACCACCAAAATTCAAAATTGATCTGTGTTTTGTGGTACTAAGCATTGTGTATATTATTCATAACGTTTGGTTGAGGCAAACTTAAGTTAGAGAAGGGAAACGAAAAACTCAGCAATGTTTCAACTTGTAAAGGGGCATTATTACTCTAGAATGGTAAAAGTGACCCCACCAAAATTCAAACTTGATCTGTGTTTTGTGGTACTAAGCATTGTGTATATTTTTGATTGATTTTTTGTGTTTTAACGCCACTTTTAAGCACCGCTTTTGGGCTATTTCGTGGCGGCCCGTTTTTATTGGTGGAGGAAGCCGGAGTGTCCGGAGAAAACCACCGACCTTCGATAGGAAAACTGACAATCCTAGTCAATTAAGATTGGAGTCGAGTGCACCCGCACGAGCGGGGTTCGAACTCACAACCTCAGTGTTGACTGGCTAGTGATTACAGTAGTAACTACTTAGACCACTCGGCCACCGAGGCCCCAGCATTGTGTATAAGATTCATAACGTTCAGTTTAAGCAAACTAAAGTTAGAGAACTGAAACAAATTTCAGGACATATGGATGGACGGACAAGGGTAAAACTTAATGCTTCCTCCCCTAAGGCGGGGGCATTAAAAAAACACATTTCATTTTTTATCTTTATTTAATTTATTTAGTACCTTTTTCTTATCCCTTTACTTGATACTGTTACTAGATATTGTTTGCAGCTTTTAACAGCAACCTAAATGTATATATACATTTTATATGAACAGCCATTATAGTGACGATGTACACAAGCCATATCTTCAGGATATATAGACAAACCAACATTTTGATGATGAAGATGTTGGATATTAAATGTTCAGTGGCAAATTTAATGCATATTCAGGACAAGAACATGTTAATGTGATAGGCGTAGGAAACCCTGCCTTGTTATAGACATTAGGGTTTCTAACTTGCTAGTTCATACGGTAACAAACAGTAAGACTTGTCACCCAAAGACTCAAGTGAACCTGGCATTGGTCTTGACTCCTGAATTCCACACTTGTCACCCATAACAGACAAATTATACTGACTCAAGTGAACCAGTCATTGATCTTACTCCTGAGTGCCACACTTGTCACCCAAAACAGACAAATTATACTGACTCCCTAATTCCACACTTGTCACCCATAACAGACAAATTATACTGACTCCAAGTCAACCAGTCATTGATCTTACTCCTGAGTGCCACACTTGTCACCCAAAACAGACAAATTATACTGACTCAATTGAGTGAACCAGGCATTAATCTTACTCCTAAATTCCACACTTGTCACCCAAAACAGACAAATTATATTGACTCCAAGCCAACCAGTCATTGATCTTACTCCTGAGTGCCACATGCTAAATTGGTTGAGAAGCAGCAAATAAAATATTTTCAAGTCTTTGATTTGACCAGGTCAGGTTTGAACCAACAACCTTCGCCATTACAGGTGAGCAAGCTACCAAGGATGCAGATAAATCATTTGATGTGATATGAATAAGAACCCTGCTTTGTACTAAATCATCCTACTGAGCCAAGTTTTTACGTTATAGTTCTGTAGTCACAGTCAACAGGAAGATACCTTTATCAAACCAGTCTTTGCTCTTACTCCTCAAAGTGATGTGCTAAGCAGGGAAAGAGCAAATACCACTTTTTATGTCTTTTTTGACATGGCTGAAGATCAAACCCATGACCTCCTGCATATTGAGGCCAGCATGCCACCACAAGACCACGGAGGCAGTAACAAACAACAGGTTATTGTAGCATCCTAGAGACAATTTAAATGCACACAGTCACAACCATGTCTATAGTCTATTTGTTTCAAATGTAACAGAGGATCATGTTTAAATTAAAATGCACCTTTCTATACTTCAGCCAGATAGTATTTTCACTAACATAGCAATACACGTATACACAAATCTTAAAATTTCGAAAACAAACACAGAAAGATGTTCCAACAATTTTATATTTCTCTGACATATGAATATGTTAACAACTACAAATATGAAAACATCACATGATTTTTTTGTCTATTATCATTAACAAATAAAATTAACATATAAAATGATACATCAATCTTTAATAAATTGTTTATGAAGTTCATCCCTTATGAATAATTAAAATTGCTCAGTTGGTGGCTTCTTTTAATTCATAAAATGAATATTATATTAATAAATGAACATTATCTTCCAAACAATAAGACAATCTGAGATACATACAACTGAGAAATTCTTCTACTTAATAATTCAAAACTGCAAATAATTTAACTGGAAGAATAAAATACAAACTCTTAAAAAGCAAGATAATTTCTACTATCAATTTACAAAGTTTAATTACCTTAAGAGGTTTCAATGACAAATGTCACAAATAATCCTACATAGGTTAATAAAAATCAATGTTATCTCAATTATTTGCTGCAAATATGTTTAAAAATACATTTACTGTAATTGTCACTGGATAGTGGATAAGTCAATTTTTTTTTCAGAAAGTTGACAGGGTCGTCTTATACTCGACTTATGAGACTTTTTTTCTGAAATCCAGTTAAAATCATAATAAAAATGCCAGAATTTGACAATATTAATAATGATATATATCTTATATTTGCAGGTTTAGAGAAAAGCAGAAGAATGTTTATTGTTCACAAGGATTTGTATCACTATACAAATCCTTGTTGTTCATTAATAAATTATGTTGTTTAATAAAATATATAATTGATGATATTTTGTTTTTCCACATGGTTTTTAGTCCTTGTATTTCTCTCAGCTTAGGTACAGGTCTTTATTTCTTTCTAGCAGACCAGGGGATGTTATTCTTACAAGCAAAACTCCCCTGACAAGCTAGTGGCAGTGTCATAAATCTAATGGCTGCAAAGACTCTGAATTGCTTGTCTGGATTATTTGGGTTGAAAAGATTTATAACGACAGAAAACAGGTTGCAGAGGGCCTCTCAAATTCATCAATCATGTTAAGTTTCAAAACATTTCATCTTATAGTAACTGAGGATTGATTAATTGATAGTAGGGTGTTCAATGCCACTTTCAGCACACTTGGCCAATTAATGGCAGTCAGTTTTTAAGATGAAGATGGAAGCCAGATAACAGGAGTGAACAACAACTTTTGGCAGGAAAACTGGCAATCCAAGTGAATTTATAGATTGGTGGTGAAGCTGGGTTTTAACTTACAACCAGAGTACTAACATGCTCATTTCTTTTAAAGATTGGAACCAAATGAAGGCTGTTTGTTTCAGGGGACATTCTTGGCAAATTTGTTAAAATTGGCAAGGTAGTTTAATTTAGAGATTCTTCTTGAAAACAAAAAGTTAACAGATGGTGACAAAGCTGACAGACACCAAATGATGGCAATAAATCAGATGGCCTTACAGGTTGAACTAAGAGAATCAAATGTTTATATATACATAATTACTCGAAATATCAGCACAACAATGTTAAATCTGCAAATTTGCAGAAGCAAATTTTTGTTCTTCCCTATATATATATATATAATTTCTGTTTCCATGTTTTTTAGGTTCAGGTCCAAATATTGCAAGGAATATAGTCCTGTTAACCAACATGAGAACTGAAAAGTAAATGTACTTGTAGAAAATGTTTTCAATATTAGAGTTTTAACCATATTGTATTTATAGTTAATTAGGCCACTGTTTTTGGTTGTGAAAATATCCATACAATTTTGAAACTAAAACCTTTAGATTTGATTCTGGACAAATCAGGTTGGAACTTACATGGTGATTTTAAAATAAAAGATTTTAATAAACTTAACTGACAAAGATTAGTGACAAATGATCACAATAGCTACTAGCCATTTGGCATAGGTTAGCTAAAGAAAAAATGTCAAAGCACAAATATAATAACTCATAACTTTGCATAAACAGTCTGTACATACACAAGTACAATCAAACAAAGCACAAAAAATTATCAACATACAAAAATCTTTACAAATACAAAAAAAAACCAATTTTATAAACAAAACAAAAAAAGTATATTGCAACATAACAAAAGGCATCACCAAATTAACCCACAAAGTAAATTCATTCTGTTTATAAATAAGTGACATATATCAGTTCTTTATAAAGGAAGTCTCTGCATCTACTATACCTAGTCAGTATTTCATTTGTTTCCATTATTTATTAAGGTAGATTTAATGTAAAAACATACAAAATTCTTGAAGAATGGATTAAGAATCAACCAAAAACAATTTCATTTGCACATTAAATTTCTATCAAAACAAAATGATATAGATTGTAAAAACCATTTTATGTTGATGAATAAGATTTGCTTTTTTAAATATAAAATGACCATCTGTGGTGTTTTATTTCAGTGACAATCGTTGAAATTAAAAGCAACTTAACACGGTTGTTTCTTTCGATATTATTGTATATGTTGAATTCCAATTCCAGCAAGCAATAATGGTTTGTTTTGAATTACTTTTGGCTTTATCAGCAAAAGCCAAGATGTGCTTCTCTCAAGGAGGCAGATTCTTAAATATAGAATAAATAATTTGGCTATTGTAGGATTTTTTAAGCCAGTCAGCTAGGTAAGGCTAATGACTAGAATTAGAATTAGATATTATACTGTTCCATTTTGTGTAGCTGTGTTAAGTGGTTGTAACAGATCCTTATATTCATGTAAAACATCTTTGAGTGCCTTACAAACACTTGGTGATGGAGAAGTTGTACAGTCAACTAGTGAAGGGTATAGCTGTATAACCTGGTTCCACACACCTCTCTCCACTGAAAAGAGAAATATATTTGAACTTAAACATAAAATTCAAACAAAATCTTTCTAACATTAATAAAGGTGACCATTCAACATCTTGAAAAAGAATCTTCCTCCTTTCCCTAAAAGTGTGAATCTCCCTTTAAGGAGATATAAAAATCTTTCTAATATTAATAAAGGCGACCATTCAACATCTTGAGAGAGAATCTTCCTCTTTTCCCTAAAAGGGTAAATCTCCCTTTAAGGAGATATAAAAATCTTTCTAATATTAATAAAGGCGACCATTCAACATCTTGAGAGAGAATCTTCCTCCTTTCCCCAAAAGTGTGAATCTCTCTTTAGGGAGATATAAAAATCTTTCTAATATTAATAAAGGCGACCATTCAACATCTTGAGAGAGAATCTTCCTCTTTTCCCTAAAAGTGTAAATCTCCCTTTAAGGAGATATAAAAATCTTTCTAATATTAAAAAAGGCGACCATTCAACATCTTGAGAGAGAATCTTCCTCCTTTCCCCAAAAGTGTGAATCTCTCTTTAGGGAGATATAAAAATCTTTCTAATATTAATAAAGGCGACCATTCAACATCTTGAGAGAGAATCTTCCTCCTTCCCCTAAAAGTGTGAATCTCTCTATAGGGAGATATAAAAATCTTTCTAACTTTAATAAAGGCGACCATTCAACATCTTGAAAAAGAATCTTCCTCCTTTCCCTAAAAGTGTAAATCTCCCTTTAAGGAGATATAAAAATCTTTCTAATATTAATAAAGGCGACCATTCAACATCTTGAGAGAGAATCTTCCTCCTTTCCCTAAAAGTGTGAATCTCTCTTTAGGGAGATATAAAAATCTTTCTAATATTAATAAAGGCAACCATTCAACATCTTGAGAGAGAATCTTCCTCCTTTCCCCAAAAGTGTGAATCTCTCTTTAAGGAGATATAAAAATCTTTCTAATATTAATAAAGGCGACCATTCAACATCTTAAGAGAGAATCTTCCTCCTTTCCCCAAAAGTGTGAATCTCTCTTTAGGGAGATATAAAAATCTTTCTAATATTAATAAAGACGACCATTCAACATCTTGAGAGAGAATCTTCCTCCTTTCCCTAAAAGTGTGAATCTCTCTTTAGGGAGATATAAAAATCTTTCTAATATTAATAAAGGCGACCATTCAACATCTTGAGAGAGAATCTTCCTCCTTTCCCTAAAAGTGTGAATCTCTCTTTAGGGAGATATAAAAATCTTTCTAATATTAATAAAGGCGACCATTCAACATCTTGAGAGAGAATCTTCCTCCTTTCCCTAAAAGTGTGAATCTCTCTTTAGGGAGATATAAAAATCTTTCTAATATTAATAAAGGCGACCATTCAACATCTTGAGAGAGAATCTTCCTTCTTTCCCCAAAAGTGTGAATCTCTCTTTAGGGAGATATGAAAATCTTTCTAATATTAATAAAGGCGACCATTCAACATCTTGAGAGAGAATCTTCCTCCGTTCCCCAAAAGTGTGAATCTCTCTTTAGGGAGATATAAAAATCTTTCTAATATTAATAAAGGCGACCATTCAACATCTTGAGAGAGAATCTTCCTCTTTTCCCTAAAAGTGTGAATCTCTCTTATGGGAGATATAAAAATCTTTCTAATATTAATAAAGGCGACCATTCAACATCTTGAGAGAGAATCTTCCTCCTTTCCCTAAAAGTGTGAATCTCTCTTTAGGGAGATATAAAAATCTTTCTAATATTAATAAAGGCGACCATTCAACATCTTGAGAGAGAATCTTCCTCCTTTCCCTAAAAGTGTGAATCTCTCTTTAGGGAGATATAAAAATCTTTCTAATATTAATAAAGGCGACCATTCAACATCTTGAGAGAGAATCTTCCTCCTTTCTTTAAAAGTGTGAATCTCTCTTTAGGGAGATATAAAAATCTTTCTAATATTAATAAAGGCGACCATTCAACATCTTGAGAGAGAATCTTCCTCCTTTCCCCAAAAGTGTGAATCTCTCTTTAGGGAGATATAAAAATCTTTCTCAAAGAACTTGTTCTCTCTTATGACCTTCCAAAAGACAAATTTGTTTTATTTTTATTTATAAAAAAATAAATATACTTATGGCAAAAAGACAAAACTTCACATTCTGATTACTGTAAATTCAGAAATTATTGCAATGGTTTTATTAATGCGAAAAATGCAATGCTATAAAGTTCGCAATAACAATAACTCGCATTCATAATTTCAGTTGTGATTTTCCTTCACAAATTTTTATCAAACGCATTAATTAGATCCCCCCTTTTTACCAGTAATCAGGGATTCTTAATAATAAATGCACACACTAATTTCTGAATTTACAGTAATTGTTTTCTCCTTTTAAACTGTTAAATAATGAACTTTATATTGAACTATTTAATATAAACTGTTAACACAGAGATATGTCTCGCCTATTTGTTATTTTTACAATGCAAATATTCAAAGTTAATGAACCATGACTGAAGGTACAGGGCTAAACAATCTCCATGGAAATGAGATGTGCCAATGCTAATACAACTGCAAACCAAATACCATTGACTTTTCATAAGTCGTTCCCTTTAAACAAACCTAAACACAAACATTTACTTGTAAACTATGTTAAAGTTTCAAAGTCAATGAACCATAATTAGGGGGTGGGGTTATATAATCTCCATGGAAATGAAACTTGCAAATACCAATACATTTGCATACCAAATATCACTGACTTAACATTAGTGGTTCATCTTAAACTGACCTAATCACAAACTAATACATGTAAACTAAGCAAAAGTTTCAAAGTCAATAGACCATGACTGAGGGGTAAGGACCAAATATTCTCCATGGAAATGAGATTTGCTAATGCTTATACAACTGCATATCAATTATCATTGACCTCCCACTAACAGTTCCCCATAAACTGACCTAATCACAAACTAATACATGAAAACTAAGCAAAAGTTTCAAAGTCAATAGACCTTGACTGATAGAAACTCCATGGTAATGAGATGTGCCAATGCTAATACAACTGCATACCAAATATCATTGACCTACCACTAGTGGTTCCCCATAAACTGACCTAATCACAAACTAATACATGAAAACTAAGCAAAGTTTCAAAGTCAATAGACCTTGACTGAGGGAAACTCCATGGTAATGAGATGTGCCAATGCTAATACAACTGCATACCAAATATCATTGACCTACCACTAGTGGTTCCCCATAAACTGACCTAATCACAAACTAATACATGTAAACTAAGCAAAGTTTGAAAGTCAATAGACCTTGACTGAGGGGAAGGGGCCTAATAATCTCCATGGTAATGAGATGTACCAATGCTAATACAACTGCATACCAAATATCATTGACTTACCACTAGTGGTTCACCATGAACTAGACCTAATCACAAACTAATACATTGTTGACGCTGCCGACGTCGCCGGAAACAGCATACCTATGTCTCACTTTTTGACTCTGTCGAGGCGAGACAATAAACTGATTTTAATCTATAATAAAATTTTATCAAACAGACCAAAACTACTGTGACAAAACCATTCACAAAGTTACTGGACCCTCTAATGTTTTAAAACTGTACTAACCATTGCCAGCTGGAGCTTTCTTCAGTGATGAGATGAGAGTAGTGATTGCTTTTAAAACTGAAGCCATCTCAGCTAATCTTGGTCTGAAAATTAAATAGAAAAATATTTAAGAAGACAAGAGAGAAGGAGAATATTTATTATTAGTTATTTACATTTTTTCTCTTTCTTTTATAGTTTGAAAATAATTGCCAAAACAACAAACAAGAGGCTCCTAAGTGCCTTGAATTGCTCACCTGGTAAAGATATGCCATTATCAAATTAATTTTAATTATGGTATTTCAATCAGTTATGTTATTTTGTAGATTTTGTATTGCTGATTATTATTGCAGTGCACAATTTGTACCGTTCTATTATAGTTTTTGATATTGACACAAAAATTAGTGAAAACCGTCATTTTAGGACAATAAGTCCTCAAGGAATCATCCATTGGTTTCAGCCATATTGGAATTTATGTAGCTCTTGTAAAGCTGATAATTTTTGCTATACTATGTTTTCATCTATCTATTATAGTTTTTTTTAAAAGATAATTTGCAACATTATAAATGTTAATCAAAATATTGTTGTAAGGGCAACAACTCCTATAAGGACTCAGCCAATGGTTTCGGTCATTTTTGGATTTTTTGTTTATCCTGTACTGCTGATCATTTTAGCTGTTTACAGTTTTATCTATATCTATAGATAATAGTGGCATGAATACAAAAAATTCGTCATAAACCATCATTTAAGGATCATAACTCCTTTCAAGATTCATCCAATGGTATTGGTCACATCTGGTGTTTTTTGTGGTCCTAGAGTGCTCATCATTTTTGCTAGCTACAGGTTTTTACCTATCTGTTCTTAAAGGGGCATTAGCTGTCAAATTCATGTTCACCGATTTGACTCAAATTCTCCATATTTGATTTATAACATACTAAAAGATATATCTAGCATTTGGTGTGTATTTTGTCTAGACGCCACCTAATTAACCATTGAGGTGACCTTATCAGACTGCCAACGGTCATACAACCCAATATAAACATAAATATAGATATAGATAGATAGCGAACAGGTGCAATTGGATTTTTCTAGGTCTGTTTGATTTCATCTTATAGGTTAATAAAAAGCTCTGCAGGGCGAAGCTTGATACGACCGCAGAGGTCGAACCTTGAACAGTTGGGGCAAGTATGGACACAACATTCAAGCTTGATACAGCTCTGAATTTGGATTGTGATTAAATATTTGACACAGCATAGGTTTCTGACACAGAATGAATGTGGTCTAAGAACTTAAAAATTTTAAATTGGACATTCACCTATTATGGTCCAATATCCAAAATCTAAATACATGGTTAGATTCAGCATATCAAAGAATCCCAAGAATTCAATTTTTGATGAAATCAAACAAAGTTTAATTTTGGACCCTTTTGATCTCAATGTGGACAAAGTTGATAATGGGGCCCAAAAATAAAAAATCTAAATACATGGTTAGATTCAGCATATCAAAGAACCCCATATATTCAATTTTTGTTGAAATCAAACAAAGTTTAATTTTGGACCCCGATTTGGACCAACTTGAAAACTGGGCCCATAATCAAAAATCTACATACATGTTTAGATTCAGCATATCAAAGAACCCTAAAAATTCAATTTTTGCTAAAATCAAACTAAGTTTAATTTTGGACCCTTTGGACCTTTATGTAGACCAATTTGAAAACGGAACCAAAAATTAAGAATCTAAATACACGGTTAGATTCGGCATATCAAAGAACCCCAATAATTCAATTTTTGATGAAATCAAACAAAGTTAAATTTTGGACCTCAATGTGGACCAATTTAAAAATCCAAAAACTTAATACACGGTTAGATTCAGCATATTAAAGAACCCCAAGAATTCAAGAATAAAACCCCATTGAAATTGATCAAGAAATAAGCAATTTATACGAAGTATCTTCTTTTGCACAATACTGTGCAATTGAATATTTCTTGCTATTGCGCAATACTGTACAATTGACAATTTCTTGCTATTGCGCAATATTGTGCTATTGGATATTTCTTGCTATTGCGCAATACTGTGCAATTGAAGATTTCTTGCTATTGAGCAATACTGTGCAATTGAAGATTTCTTGCTATTGTGCAATACTGTGCAATTGAAAATTTCTTGCTATTGCACAATACTTATTATATAATAATTTACACATCCTGTTTGGTGTGTATCTCCAACCATATCATTATTATTTGCTTTTAAATATAAATCAGAAATAACCAACTTAAAATGGAAAATTAAAAAAAAAAAAAATAAGGAAAAAAAAAGAAAAAAAAAAAATCCACTCCTCCAAATTTTTTGAACCCCCTTATGATTCATCACCCCCAAACACAATCCCAGCCTTCCCTTTGTGGTATGGTACCTTGCAGTACAATTTCAGAGAGATCCATACACTTGAACACAAGTTATTGTCTGGAAACTAGAAAAATGCTTATTTTTGGCCCTCAATTCCTAAACGTTTCGGGCAATTACCCCCAAACTCATTTCCAGCTTTCCCTTTGTGATATGGAACCTTGTAGTACAATTTCAGAAATATCCAAACACTTACACACAAGTTATTGTCACGAAACTAGAAAAATGCTTGTTTTTTGCCCCTTTTTTGGCCCCTAATTCCTAAAATTTTGAAGTAATTACCCCCAAAATCAATTACAGCCTTCCCTTTGTGATATGGAACCTTGTGGTACAATGTCAGAGAGATCCATGCACTTACACACAAGTTATTGTCTGGAAGTTACAAAAATGCTTATTTTTGGCCCCTAATTCCTTAACTGTTGGTACCATAACCCCCAAAATCAATCCCAACCTTCCTTTCGTGGTATTGTACCTTATGGTAAAATTTCATGGAGATCCATTCACTTAAACTAAAGTTAGAGTGCGAAAACCAATGTGTCTTCGGACAATGCCAGAAAACGCCGGACGACAACGCCAACGTCATACCAATATACGACCAAAAATTTTTTAATTTTTGCGGTCGTATAAAAATATTTGTAAATCATCCTTTTTACCTGTATAAGAATGAGTTTCTGTGGATCGAATCAGTCAATCAAATGGTTTACCCTTGATTCACTTTCAATGTTGACATTCTTTTCTTTTTAATATCTGAACACGCCTAATTCATGCGTAACCTATCTTTAGCTAAGGGGTTAAGTTGAAGGTCACATGAATACGGATTCAATGAGGTTGAATTATTCACTAGCAAGTGAATAATTCATCAGCGATGTTTCTTAGCTTATTTTGACAAAATTGAACCAAACTGGCTGCTAAAAGCGAATTATTATTTCACTATTTCACTTTCATTAATGATTGAACAAAAATTGACAAAAATATAAAAATTCCTCAAAATTTAAGGACCATTCATTCCTCCTTGAGAATTCATCCAATGGTTCAGTCATATTAATAGCTTTTTGTATGTCTTGTATTGCGGATCATTTTTACCTTTAACAGTTTCTATCTATCTAATATAGTTTTAGAGTTTAAAGACAAAATGAATAGTTACAAAAATCGTCATTTAATGGCAATAACTCCTGAAGGAGTCATCTGATAATTTTGGTGCAAAGAGAATGTAGGTAGATCTCAATACTCTGAGCCCCTGTCAAATTTTACCTTTCTTTAATAGTTTCTTTAAGATACAAGACAATTATTGCATTTTACCCTCATTTTCTATTTTTAACCATGGCAGCATGTTTGTAGATTGACAGGAAAAAAAGCCCCACAGACATTATACTAAATTCCCTAAGGATCATTCAGTCCAAACTAGGTTGAAATTGGTTCAGTGGTTTCAGAGAAGAAGATCATTGAAAAAGTTTAGGACGACATAGGGCTCTTAGTGATTGCAGAAGCTCACATGGCCTTATGGGACAGGTCAGCTTAAAAAGGGTTATAAAAAGCTGCGCCATGAGTGCATGATATGGTCGTCACCCTTTTAATTTTGATGATTTTTTACAAATAAAGTTCCATCACTCTGCAATGACAAATTAGAAAGGAGAAGGTCCAATAAGGGTTTATTTTGGCCTAAAATTTGTACATCTGATGCATTGTTTTTTACATATTCTAAACACTGAAGTGTTTTCTTCAGTCGATTGAATTAATTTATGTAAGAGATTTGGACTGATTTGGTCATTAAAGAAGCCTAAATTCAAGCTGAAATATGAAAAATCTAATAAATATGCCACAAAACGTCACTTTTCAGATAGTTTTTGTCTAAAATGGAAGTGGCTGCATTTGTGTTCAGTCTCAACCTTTATATATGTTATGTATCATCATCAAATACAACATATATTTAAATATTAAGACTGAACACAAGTGCGGCCACCTTCATTTTAGACAAAAACTTCTAAAATTAGCACAAATGCTAAAATTGTGAAGATTTCAGAAATTTGGCATGAATTAATGATACATGTGCAGAATGTCAAAAACAGCCCATATGTATATAACAAAAGTATTCTTCTTTCAAATAAATAGCTAAAAGTTTACATTTTTAACAAATTTTTGAAATGCTATATTTTTGGGCCAAAAAGGGGTTTTACTGGGCCTACTCCTTTATAAATAAACTGCTTCGCTGAGCGCAGCTGGATACGACTGCAGAGGTCCAACCCTGAACAGTTGGGGCAAAAATGGACACAATATTCAAGCTTGATACAGGTCTGAATTTGGATTGTAATTAAATATTTGACACATTATAGGTTTCTGACACACAATAAATGTAGTCAAAGAACTTGAAATTGGTTGTATGATTTGAATTTATATTCAATTGAAGATTTCTTGCTGTTGTACAATACACTGTGCTGTTGCGCAATACTTAGTAAATCTGTTTTCAGACTATATACAAAGAATTAGCAAAATAAATTGTGACCCCCAATATTTTTCTTTGGAAAATTGACAATTTCTTAAATCTTGAACCCCCCCAAAAATTTTTTTTTAACCCCCCTCCAATTTTGAAGAAATTTTCTTTTTGTAAAATGTGGTACACAAATTAAGAGACATCCATACACTTAAACACAAGTTATTGTCTGAAAACTAGAAAAATACTTGTTTTAGACCCTTTTTGGCCCCTAATTCCTGAACGGTTTGGGCAGTTACCCCCAAAATGAATCCCAACCTTCTACTTGTGATATTGAACCTTTTGGTACAATTTCAGAGCAATCAAAATACTTATACACAAGTTATTGTCCTGAAACAAGAAAAATGTTTGTTTTGGCCCCTAATTCCTTAACGGTTGGGACCATCACCCCCAAAAACAATCCCAAACTTCCTTTTGAGGTATTGAACCTTTTGATTAAATTTCATAGAGATCCAAACTAAAGTTATTGTCTGGAATACAAATGTATGATTTGAATTTATATTCAATTGAAGATTTCTTGCTGTTGTGCAATACACTGTGCTGTTGTGCAATACTTAGTAAATCTGTTATCAGAATATATACAAAGAATTAGCAAAATAAATTGTGACCCCCAATTTTTTTCTTTGGAAAATTGAGTTTCTTTCTTTATACATAATTTAAAAGCAGTGTAAGGGAGGTAATCAAAACGTTGTGTTTGGATTACCTCCCTTACACTGAAGGTGAAAGCATTCTTGAGCATAGTATAGTTCCAGAGGAGATTTTTGGAAAAATTAACGCATGATAACACATGAACAGTCAAAGTGACACTACCGAAATTCGTACTTGATCTGAGTTTTGTGGTAATAAGCATTGTGTATAAGATTCATAACAATTGGGTGAGACAGACTAAAGTTAGAGAACGGAAACATAAAATTCAGCAATTTTTCCATTTGTAAAGGGGCATAACTCTAGAATGGTAAAAGTGACACCACCGAAATTCAAACTTGATCTGTGTTTTGTGGTAATAAGCATTGTGTATAAGTTTCATAACATTTGGTTGAGGGAAAATAAAGTTAGAAAACGGAAACCAATTTTGGGACGTACAGACAGAAGGGTAATAAAATGCTTCGCTGGGGCGCAGCTTGATACGACCACAGAGGTCGAACCCTGAACAGTTGGGGCAAGTATGGACACAACATTCAAGCTTGATACAGCTCTGAATTTGGATTGTTATTAAATATTTGACACAGCATAGGTTTCTGACACAGAAAGAATGTGGTCTAAGAACTTGAATTTTTTTAATTTACCTATTATGGTCCAATGTCCAAAATCAAAATACATGGTTAGATTCAGCATATCAAAGAACCCCATATATTCAATTTTTGTTAAAATCAAACAAAGTTTAATTTTGGACCCAAACTTGGACAAACTTGAAAACTGGGCCCATAATCAAAAATCTAAACACATGTTTAGATTCAGCATATCAAAGAACCCCAAGAATTCAATTTTTGCTAAAATCAAACTAAGTTTAATTTTGGACCCTTTGGACCTTAATGTAGACCAATTTAAAAAACGGGACTTAAAATTAAAAATCTAAATACACGGTTAGATTTGGAATATCAAAGAACCCCAATAATTCAATTTTTGATGAAATCAAACAAAGTTTAATTTTGGACCCTTTTGACCTCAATATGAACCAATTTGATAGCGGGGCCTACAAATAAAAAATCTAAATACATGGTTAGATTCAGCATATCAAGGAACCTCATATATTCAATTTTTGTTGAAATCAAACAAAGTTTAATTTTGGACCCCAATTTGGACCAACTTGAAAACTGGGCCCATAATCAAAAATCTAAATACATGTTTAGATTCAGCATATCAAAGAACCCCATATATTCAATTTTTGTTGAAATCAAACAAAGTTTAAATACTGGACCCTATCTTGGACCAACTTGAAAACTGGGCCCATAATCAAAAATCTAAACACATGTTTAGATTCAGCATATCAAAGAACCCCAAGAATTCAATTTTTGTTAAAATCAAACTAAGTTTAATTTTGGACCCTTTGGACCTTAATGTAGACCAATTTAAAAAACAGGACCCAAAATTAAAAATCTAAATACACGGTTAGATTTGGAATATCAAAGAACCCCAATAATTCAATTTTAGATGAAATCAAACAAAGTTTAATTTTGGACCCTTTTGACCTCAATATGAACCAATTTGATAACGGGGTCCACAAATAAAAAATCTAAATACATGGTTAGATTCAGCATATCAAGGAACCCCATATATTCAATTTTTGTTGAAATCAAACAAAGTTTAATTTTGGACCCCAATTTGGACCAACTTGAAAACTGGGCCAAAAATCAAAAATCTAAATACATGTTTAGATTCAGCATATCAAAGAACCTCATATATTCAATTTTTGCTAAAATCAAACAAAGTTTAATTTTGGACCCTTTGGACCTTAATGTAGACCAATTTGAAAACTGGACCCAAAATTAAAAATCTATATACACTGTTGGATTCGGCATAACAAATAAATAAATGTGATCAAAGATTTTACAAATCTAATGCGCCATACTGTGCAATTAAAGATTTCTTCTTGAAATTTTTCAATATTTGAAATTTGAAAAAAAAATATTATTTGAAGAATAATTTTTTTAATTTCTGAAATCTGAAATGAGAAAAATTGACCCCTCACAATTTCTTTTTATCCCCCCCCCCCTTTTTTCCCTCAAAAAATTCTTTCCCTCAAGATATGGTCATAATCTCAATTCAAATTGCCAATGGAGTTGGCAACCATAATTACCCATTTAAATTCACCATAGTGCTAACTTAATCTATTTTATAATAGAATTAAAAATATAGTGTCAAATCTTTCATATGGATATTTTTACTGGTCTTCCTTTATAAATATGCATTTCTTTAAACATAATTTAAAAGCAGTGTAAGGGAAGTAACCAAAACGTTGTATTTGGATTACCTCCCTTACACTGTTTTAAATTATCTTTATTGTTCATTAACCATTACTTTATACATAATTTAAAAGCAGTGTAAGGGAGATAATTTCAATGATGTATTTGATTTATCTCCCTTACACTGCTTTAAATTATGTTTTGTACTAAAGTATTTGTCCATTAACCAGGACAACCTTGTTTTTCCCCCTTTTTTGCCCCTAATTCCTAAACGGTTTGAGCCATAACCCCCCAAAGCAAATCCTAACCATCCCTTTGTGGTATGGAAACTTGTAGTATAATTTCAGAGAGATCCATACACCGTTCCACAGTTATTGTCTGGAAACTAGAAAATGCTTATTTTTGGCCCCTTTTTGGCCCCTAATTCCTTAACTGTTGGTACCATAACCCCCAAAATCAATCCCAACCTTCCTTTTGTGGTATTTAACCTTATGGTCAAATTTCAAAAAGATCCATTTACTTAAACTAAAGTTAGAGTGCGAAAACCAATGTGTCTTCGGACGACGACGCCGGACGACGACGACGACGACGACGCCAACGTCATACCAATATACGACCACAAAATTTTTTTGCAGTCGTATAAAAATTAACGCCCCTTTCGCTATGGCGGGGGCATAAAAAGCCAAAAAATATGAAAGCACTGTACTATAACAGAATGACAGAATTTGAATTGAAACACCTTGGTAAAGGACATTTTCCACTGAGTCTTTCATCTTCTACATATTTCTTGACAACATCTTGACACCTTTGTAACAATGACAAAACAGCCACTTTTGTTATAGAACCTTCCTCAGATTGACTTTTTGATATAAATGAAAACTGTAGTAAGGTTTCAAAGCACGTCTTTGCAAATTCTTCACGTAATTTCCGACTAGACTCTGTATCTGAAAGAAATTGTGCATACTGTAATAATATTGAAGATGCATTAACCACAAATTTTAAGTGTAAAATGATTATAAAAACTCTTCCTAGTATTTCAATAATATCTCTTTTTTTAAAATGGTTTACCATTTGTACTTAATATCCATCTTTCCTCAACACCATTTTCATATCCTAAAAAATACTTTCGAGAAAAATGAATCCATCCAGTTGAAATTCTCTAGGAGGCTAATGGATTAGTATTTTGACGGATTTACAGTTATAAATTAGCTGAGCAGTTACAAAGTACATAATAATAATAGATCATTGCGATAAGGTTTACAAAGACCAATCATGGATGCAAAATTATGGTAAAATGAAAATTAGCTTTTTGGTAAAAACTTGTCAATTGTTTAAGACTGTATAAATCATAAAGAGGATAAAAGGAGTCACCCAAAAACCTGTTAAATACCGTAGACCAACCATACCCAATTCCTTAATATAGCACACATACAAACAAAATCAGACAACAAGGAACAACTCATACATTGACTTGGTACAAGTACAAAATGTGGTGGAATAAAGACCAGTTTTACCTGCACACAACCCTCCCTTCCCCTTTACCTTAATAGGCTGTATGTTGTACTATAATGACTTCTAGATGTCTTTTTGTTTTATATGTCAATGGCATCTACCCTACATCTCCTTCGTCCCCACATATCAAAGGACTATGTTAAAAAATGGAGATATTCTTGTTGTACAATTTAGCTTGCTTTAAAGAATTACAACTTGTCCTCAATTTGACTGGTCAGTCTTGCGATTCATTGAAGTTGACACATGGTCTTATGGAAATGTACCAATAGTCAAATATTATTATTATATTTCAATGATGTCTGTAGTACTCTGTACTAGCCATGGCTGTTTGTGAAAAAAAAATTAAAAGGACAATTTGTCTTCCAAAGATACTTCCACATGTCAAATGACTATAATATCATAAGAGAAAAATTCTAACCAAAACACATCTGTATGCTGAGAGCAACTGATAAGTTTATGTAGTAGTCCCAGGTGTATGAATTTTTAAAAGTTATTTATCCTTGACGTTCTGGTCTGAATATATAAAAGGAGAAAAAGTTAAGTAATCATCCTTCTTTAAAGGTAAGATTTAAATGTGGTTAAGATACACATTTTTAAGGTTAATTTAAATGCACACCAACTGTCATATTTCAAACGGCCTGCATTATTAAACTGAGAAAAAATATACTAAGAAGCAAATATTAGATTTAAAAAAAAAGCATTATAAAGCAGAAGCTTTTATGAGTGACTAGTGGGTAATATGTATTTTTTTAATGTTCAAGTTCTTTAATTTGTTTAAATTTTTTGTGACCTTTTCATTTAGACAATGGAAAAAATTGTCAAGATTGTTACAAAAAATGATACCAAAAGTATCATTACAGATGTGATATGGGATATTAAAAAATCATGCAAAGAGACGATAATGTATTTAAATCAATATTTAAGCCTTACTACATCAGAAAAATAATCACAATTTTTTTCTTTAAAAATATATTATACCAAACCCACAAAAAATTGTAAAGGGAAGTTAAAAAGAACCAAGCATGCCTTTGACGATCTCCACTCCAGCTCCCAAACCACTTACCTCCTATTCCCTTGATAAATATCTTACCTAAAATAGTTGTCAAGCATTCAAACAGTGGACATTTAAAGCAGTTTCAGAGTACTACATTATTATGTCTCCTTTCATTACATTTTCCACATATATATTTTTAAAAAGCTTTTACAGTCAATACAAATGTAACCTACCCGCAAGTTAATGAAATTTGTAAAATAGGTCATCTTTTTCTACAGGTGGGGATCAGGGATTTGAAGTTACACACTAACAATCTACCTAGCAAAGATGGGTTAAAATTTTTTCACACGTTTTATTCAAAATAAAATTTGTCAGATTTATGGGGAGGGGACACTGGGTGGCCCACCTTGAAACGTCCCTGATCTTGTGTAAAAGATGACAGATCCTTGCACCTTGCAACATTGCATATTAACAGAAAATAGATGCAAACCTTAACCCAAGTAAATGGTATATGAAGGGTGAAAAGATTGTTTGGATGACACAGCTTTGCTGGACAACTCAAGACTTTTCTGGAGTCATTCCAATATTACAACCAAAGATACATGAAGGTTAGAGACTGACTCTAATGTGAAACTAAACCAGGCAATGAAGCATGAATTTAAATTATAGTGATTTCCTTAAAATGGCGATTTACACCCTCTCCTATATATATATTAGGAAAAAATCTTGTTTCTTTGATACAAAACAGTACCAAAATTACATGATTAAAGAGCTTAGGAATATATCTTACCAAATTAATGCCAATTAAATTAAATATCTCATACAAAAAAAGCTAATTTTTATCCAACCAATAAATTGACTAGATTGGACACCATGTATACTGCCTTATTCTTGTGTCTGTATATCTAACCAATGAATAAATTACATGGGTCAGTATGTATACTGCCTTTATTTCTATGTGTGTATATCTTATTAATGAATTGATCAGATGGGGCAGCATGTATACTGCCTTTATTTCTATGTGTGTATATCTTATCAATGAATTGATCAGACAGGGCAGCATGTATACTGCCTTTATTACTGAGTCTCTGTATAATTATTATCTTACCAATGAATTGATAAGATGGTGTCGCATGTATAATGTCTTTAACACTGGGACAATATAATAATTATCTAACCAAGAATTGATCAGATGGGGTAGCATGTATACTGCCTTTATTACTGGGACGATATAATTATCATCTTACCAATGAATTGATCAGATGGTATAGCATGTATACTGCTAACTCGAATAATTCAAGCCCTTTCCGTGTCCGATTTTCTCCCACACGAGGGCTTGAACTCCTTATGATCATTGGCCGCGTCGCCTGCTCTCTGTGAGAGAGAGCCAATCGGTGGCCATCAGGATAATGAGTCTGCGCAACTGTCTTGTAATTGTCTTACCAAACACGTGTGTTCAATTAACACAAATCCGATAATAATTAATAAATATCAATTAACATCAGTTTACATCATTTAACATCAATTAACATCCGGAACTCCTCCTTCTTTAGCTGCCAACTTAAATCAAAATTCCCATATTGCATAGCGGTGTGAATTTTCCGGTTGACGGTCTTTATCGAGGAAGACGTTCAGGCGTTAATGTAGCCTTCGTAGATCAGCGGAATATAACGACTGAATTATTCGGGTTAGTATACTGCCTTTCTTACTGGGATGATATAATTATTATCTTACCAATGAATTGATCGGAAGGGGCAGCATGTAAACTGCCTTTATTACTGAGTCTGTTTAATTGTTATCTTACCAATGAATTGATCAGATGGGGTATCATGTACAATACCTTTATCACTGGGACGATATAATTATTATCTTACCAATGAATTGATCAGATGGGGTAGCATGTATACTGCCCTTGTTAAGTAACTGCATGATCTTCTTGACAAAATCACCAGGCATAGAACAGGTGTGTGACAAAATATCATCTCTTATCAACTGTACTACCTGAAAATTCAGAAATTCATAATTACGGACAATACTTAAGATTCAAGGCCCAAGGAGTTATCTCTCTTTAGCTATTGATACAAAAAGTTACAAGATTAAAAGGTCTGATTCTTAGTTTAGCAAAGTATCAGTATATAATTAGTTTAAGGTAGTTTTTTCCAGTTTGAAGTTAACAACAGTACATTCAATTTCTATACTAAAGTTAAAGAAGACCTACTGCTTATCTTAGTCATATTTTGTATATAAAACATTTACAAGACAACATTGTGTAACTGATAAATGTAGAACTTTCTCTCACTATTATCCATATTTAACCCATGTTGTCTCTATTAAAGTAATTGGATTCATTTGCAAAATAATACAAAAAACTATTTACTTTACAATCAATGGCTTCATCTCTTTGGAAATCTTCTACTGATAGAGTTGGCAATGAAGGGCTGAAAAATGTAAAAAAAAATAATCGGATAATTCAGTTCCTCATATATCGGAAAAAGAAAAAAAGATTTCTAATAACAATTTTAAAACTAATTATTATTATTAAATCATTACAATGAAATGATTTTTTTTCTCCAATTGAGTAAATCAGATGATAATCCTAGGCAGATCATTGCATCTTCAAGAATTAAATTTGATATTAAATTTGATTAAAAAATAAAATGCTCCACTGGGCGCAGCTTGATACGACCGCAGAGGTCGAACCCTGAACAGTTGGCGCAAGTATGGACACAACATTCAAGCTTGATACAGCACTGAATTTGGATTGTGATTAAATATTTGACACAGTACAGGTTTCTGACACAGAATGAATGTGGTCTAAGAACTTAAAATTTTTTAATTTACCTATTCAAACCATATCATTATTATTTGCTTTTATATATAAATCAGAAATAACCAATTTGAAATGGAAAATTTTAAAGGAAAACCCCCCCCCCCCCAAAAATTTTTTGAACCCCCTTATGATTCATCACCCCAAACTCAATCCCAGCCTTCCCTTTGTGGTATGGTACCTGCAGTACAATTTCAGAGAGATCCATACACTTAAACACAAGTCATTGTCTGGAAACTAGAAAAATGCTTGTTTTTTGGCCCCAAATTCCTAAACGTTTAGGGCAATTACCCCCAAACCCAAACCCAGCTTTCCCTTTGTGATATGGAACCTTGTAGTACAATTTCATAAAGATCCATACACTTACACACAAGTTATTGTCCTGAAACTAGAAAAATGCTTGTTATTTGCCCCTTTTTTGGCCCCTAATTCCTAAAATTTTGAAGCAATTAACCCCAAAATCAATCCCATCCTTCCCTTTGTGGTATGGTACCTTGAAGTACAATTTCAGAGAGATCCATACACTTGAACACAAGTTATTGTCTGGAAACTAGAAAAATGCTTATTTTTGGCCCCTTTTTGGCCCCTTATTCCTAAACGTTTTTGGCAATTACCCCCAAACTCAATTCCAGCTTTTCCTTTGTGATATGGAACCTTGTAGTACAATTTCAGAAAGATCCATACACTTACACACAAGTTATTGTCATGAAACTAGAAAAATGCTTGTTTTTTGCCCCTTTTTTTGCCCCTAATTCCTAATTATTTTGAGGCAATTACCCCCAACATCAATCCCAGCATTCCCTGTGTGATATGGAACCTTGTGGTACAATGTCAGAGAGATCCATACACTAACACACAAGTTATGTCTGGAAGTTACAAAAATGCTTATTTTGGCCCCTAATTCCTTAACTGTTGGTACCATAACCCCCAAAATCAATCCCAACCTTCCTTATGTGGTATTGAACCTTATGGTAAAATTTCATAGAGATCCATTCACTTAAACTAAAGTTAGAGTGCGAAAACCAATGTGTAATCGGATGACTATGACGATGACGCCGAACGACGACGACGCCAAAGTCATACCAATATACGACCGCAAAAATTTTTTGCGGTCGTATAAAAACTGACATTCAATTTTCTTAACATTTGTGTTTTAAAGATTAATTTTTTTGTCATTTGGATATTATTTACTTAACTAATAACACTGTAATATGTTATCACTTATTTTATAATACTTACAATACTTTTCAAGTAAATACGCGAAACATATGTGCAACTATAAGATAAATAAATGGGGAATGTGTCCATGGGACACAGATGATGCCCCCGCTTGCATATCATATAAAGTTATAAAGGGACATAACTGAAGAACAGTATAAGATACGCTACCCAAATTTATACTTGAACTGAGTTTTGTGGTACTAAGTATTGTGTATAAGTTTCATAATATTTGGTTGAGGCAAACTTAAATTACAGAACGGAAATGCAAAATTCAGCAATTTTTCCATTTGTAAAGGGGCATAACTCTAGGACGGTTAAAGTGACACCACCAAAATTCAAACTTGATCTGTATTTTGTGGTAATAAGCATTGTGTATAAGTTTCATAACGTTTGGTTGAGACAAACTAAAGTTAGAGAACGGAAACCAACTTTGGACAGGACAGACGGACAGATGTACAGACGGGCAAGGGTAAAACTTAATATAATAAATGGGGAATGTGTCCATGGGACACAAATGATGCCCCCACTTGCATATAACGTGAAAAGGGACAAAACTCAAGAACTGTAAAAGTGCGCTACCCTAAGTTGTACTTCATCTGAGTTTTGTGGTAATAAGCATTGTGTATACGCTTCATAACATTTAGTTGAGCAATTTTTCCATTTGTAAAGGGGCATTACTCTAAAATGGTAAAAGTGACGCCACCAAAATTAGAACTTGATCTGTGTTTTGTGGTAATTAGCATTGTGTATAAGTTTCATAACATTTGGTGCGGCAAACACTAAAGTTAGAGAACAGAAACGAAAAATTCAGCAATTTTTTCATTTGTAAAGGGGCATTACTTTAGAACTGTAAAAGTGACGCCATCTATATTAAAATTTGATCTGTACTTTGTGGTAAAAAGTATTGTGTATAAGTTTCATAACATTTGGTTGAGGCAAACTTAAGTTAGAGAACAGAAACGAAAAATTCAGCAATTTTTCCATTTGTAAAGGGGCATAACTCTAGAACGGTAAAAGTGACGCCACCAAAATTCAAACTTGAGTTTCATAACACTTGGTTGAGACAAACTAAAGTTAGAGAACGGAAACCAACTTTGGGACGTAAGGACAGACGGAAGGACGTACAGATGGACAAGGGTAAAACTTACACTTACACCAAAATTTACACTTGATCTGTGTTTTGTGGTAATAAGTTTTGTGTATAAGTTTCATAATATTTGGTTGCGGCAAACTAAAGTTACAGAACAGAAACGAAAAATTTATCAATTTTTTCATTCATAAAGGGGCATAACTCTAGAACTGTAAAAGTGACGCCACCAAAATTCCAACTTGATCTGTGTTTTGTGGAAATAAGAATTGTGTATAAGTTTCATAACATTTGGTTGAGGCAAACTAAAGTTAGAGAACAGAAACTAATTTTGGGGCATACAGACGTATGTATGTAGGTGGGTACAGACAGACAAGGGTAAAACTTAATGCCCTCTCCGCTACAGCTGGGGCATAAAAAATACTCTTGGCTATTGCTGGATATAAAACTCTTTTTGGACAATTTTTTGAATTATTCCTTGATTTTATGATCAAAATAAGTTGTATGCATCATGCCAGACTATGGGTACCATGTTGATAAAAAAACACGAGTAGACAAAATAATACATGGAACAGAAACAAAACAAAGACGATTAATAACGAGTGAAACATAACAGGATATAAGATTATAAACCAATAAAATTTAAAATTTGTTTTCTTTTTAATCAAATAACATGTTTTTCTATCTATACTGACAATAAGGACAGTTTGCACCAGAAGGGCTACTTGAAGCAAGAACATCATAAAATTCTTTTGAAAATTACTTTAAAATACTTGTGCAAAGGGGCATAACCTAAATCACTTTCTAAAACATTACTGCAGATTTAAAACCTTGCTATAAAACTAGGCCATCATGAACAGATTTAAGACCTTCCTATACAACTAAGCCATCATGTGCAGATTTAAAACATTGCTCAAAGTCATATGAATCAAGTTTCTGCTGATTATAACAATCAGGAAATTTCTGAACCATTACATATAAAAATAAGAAGATGTGGTATGATTGCAAGTGAGACAAATTTCCACCATAGACCAAATGACGTAGAAGTAAGCAATGCATATATACTAAACTAAGTCCTCTGAGCACATTTTTTTAAAACATTTATTAGGAATCCATAAAGTATCCGATAGATGAAACAATTTATCTTTTATGTTCTTTTATTTCCCCCAATCTAAATTGACTAGGATTGTCAGTTTTCCTACCGATGGTTCTTTCTGTTTTCCTCCAGCAATAAAATCAATCACTTTTTTGGGTTAAATTTGAAGTATCATATGACTTTAAGGATGTTCGCTCTTGTTTTTTACTTTTTGTTAGATATTCGGAATCCTTTGGTTTTATCCATGTAGTGCCAATAAAAATTTTGCTCACTTACCTCTACTTTTCTTTTCATAATTTTATTTCATAGAGTTTAAAAAGTCATTTTTCAAAATCTTATAAAATCCTTGTTATTTTTCATAGTTTTTGAAAGAAAAAAGAAGCCAATCTTAAATGTATGAAAAATCTAGAGAAAAAATTTTCAATTGATAATATCTTAAAAACAAGGACATGGACCTATCATTTTTTTCTGCTTTTCAAGTTCCATTATTTATATACTATCAATTTATAACAGTTCTTTAAAAACCTTGTTATTTTGAAAAAGAGGAGGGAACATCCTTAATGACTGAAAATCTAATTTAAAAAATTGGAATCATTTCACACTTTTTTAAATGATGAAAAAATTTCTTTTTATGGTCTTTTCAGCCAAGAAACTATTTTCAACTTTAAAAATCACAGGGAGTTCTCAGGTATCATACTTTTAAGTGCTTGAAATAAAATTATTTAGCAATGCATCAAAATCTCAACAGGGTCTTTAAATAATTTTCTGATTTTACTACATGTATCATACGGTAATGCAAGCTCCAAATAATCTTACCTCTTTGAGAACAAAAATTCTTCAAAGGTTTGTGCTAGTTCTGACCACATTCCGTTAAATGAAGATTCTGAAAATTATAAAGAAAGAATTATGGTAATAACCAATCTGCCTTCTACAAGCATAAAATAATTACTAGACTACTAAAGATGGATAATCTATGATTACAAAGTGTGCCTCGTTCTGCACAATAAGTTTAATGCTGGAGGCAAGCATGGAATACAGGTGAGGGTGACAATCTATTTTCTTGATGCTGCCTAATCATGAGATGCATTTCTGCATAAGTTATTGGTCCTTTATAGTAACTATACACTTAAAGATATATACTCAAGACAATATTTAAATGAACTCAAACAAAAATGAAAAATGGATTGAGGACTCCAGTGTCTGGGTTATGCAGATTGTTTCTAAACAATGGAGAATGGTCTATACTTGTTTGGGGGCCAGCTGAAGGACGCCTCCGGGTGCAGGAGTTTCTCGCTGCATTGAAGACCCATTGGTGGCCTTCGGCTGTTGTCTGCTCTATGGTCGGGTTGTTGTCTCTTTGACACATTCCCCATTTCCATTCTCAATTTTATACTGAATATTCAAACAGTTATACGGAAATTTAATTGGAAAATCAGATAAAATCTTTAAACATTTCCATAATGGAAGGTGCACAATCTTAATAGCAAACTCTCTGTAGAATTCAAAAGATCTGGGTTAAAAAACAATAAATGTGGATAATCCACATGTGGACACAGATGATGCCCCCCCCTTGCATATCATATTGTTATAAAGGGACATAACTGAAGAACAGTAAAAGTGACGCTACCCAAATTTAAACTGGATCTGAGTTTTGTGGTAATAAGCATTGTGTGTAAGTCTTATAACATTTGGTTGAGGCTAACTTAAGTAGAGAACAGAAACTAAAAATTCAGCAATTTTTCTTTTTGTAAACTCGCATAACTCTAGAGCAGTTATGTATAAGTTTTATAACATTTGGTTGAGACAAACTAAAGTTAGAGAACGGAAACAAAAAAATCAGCAATTTTTATGTTTATACAGGGACATTACTCAAGAATGGTAAAAGTGACGCCACTAAATTTCGTACTTAATCTGTATTGTGTAGTAATAAGCATTGTGTATAAATTTCATAACATTTGGTGGAGGCAAACTAAAGTTAGAGAACGGAAACAAAAAAATTGTACTTGATCTTAGTTTTGAGGTAATGAATATTGTGTAAAGGTTTCATAATGTTTGGTTGGGGCAAACTTATGTTACAGAATGGAAACTAAAAATTTTGCAATCTTTCAATTTATAAAGGGGCATAACTCAATAATGGTTAAAGTGACACTACCCAAATTCAACTTGATCTGTGTTTTATCAGTGGAAGGCAATATTAAACATTGCATTGTATAAAGCATTGATTGTAGTTGATTCAACTATAATCATGGACAAAGGAAGATAACTCCAATTTTAAAAATTACTTGAATAATGACATTGATATTTTTAGAAATTACATTTAGTTAAGACAAACTCAAGATAGAGAACGGAAACAAAAATTCAGCAATTTTTTCATTTGTAAAGGGGCATAACCCTAGAACGGTAATCAAAGTGCTTGTTAGCACTGAATGGTAAAGATTGCTTTAATTTATCAGTAGGAAGTAAAATTGAATATTGCATTGTATAAAGCATTGGTTGTAGCTGATTCAACTACCACTACGCACAAAGAAAGATAACTCCAATTTTCAAAGAAGACTTTAAAATATTTTTTAGAAATGAAGGATAAAAATTGCTTTAATTTATCAGTCGAAGGGAAAATTAAACATTGCATTGTATAAAGCATTGATTGTATTCAACTATAATCATGGACTAAGGAAGATAACTCCAATTTTAATAAAATGCTCTGCTGGGTGCAGCTTGATACGACCGCAGAGGTCGAACCCTGAACAGTTGGGGCAAGTATGGACACAACATTCAAGCTTGATACAGCACTGAATTTGGATTGTGATTAAATATTTGACACAGCATAGGTTTCTGACACAGAATGAATGTGGTCTAAGAACTTAAAAAATTTTAATATACCTATTCAAACCATATCATTATTATTTGCTTTTATATATAAATCAGAAATAACCAATTTAAAATGGAAAATTTTAAAGAAAAAAAAGGAAAAAAAAATCCCTCCCCCAATTTTTTAAACCCCCTTATGATTCATCACCCCCAAACTCAATCCCAGCCTTCCCTTTGTGGTATGGTACCTTGCAGTACAATTTCAGAGAGATCCATACACTTGAACACATGTTATTGTCTGGAAAAATGCATGTTTTTTGGCCCCTTTTTGGCCCCAAATTCCTAAACGTTTTAGGCAATTACCCTCAATCTCAAACCCAGCTTTCCCTTTGTGATATGGAACATTGTAGTACAATTTCATAAAGATCCATACACTTACACACAAGTTATTGTCCTGAAACTAGAAATATGCTTGTTTCTTGCCCCTTTTTTGCCCCTAATTCCTAAAATTTTGAGGCAATTACCCCCAAAATCAACCCCAGCCTTCCCTTTGTGATATGGAACCTTGTGGTACAATGTCAGAGAGATCCATACACTAACACACAAGTTATGTCTGGAAGTTACAAAAATGCTTATTTTTGGCCCCTAATTCCTTAACTGTTGGTACCATAACCCCCAAAATCAATCCCAACCTTCCTTATGTGGTATTGAACCTTATGGTAAAATTTCATAGAGATCCATTCACTTAAACTAAAGTTAGAGTGCGAAAACCAATGTGTCTTCGGACGACGACGCCAACGTCATACCAATATACGACCGCAAATTTTTTTTGCGGTCGTATAAAAATCAATTGATATTTAGAAGAAAAAAAAAAGAAAAATTCAGCAATTTTTCCATTTTTAAAGGGGCATAACTCTAGAACGGTAAAAATGATGCCACCAAAATTCAAACATGATCTGTATTTAGTGGTAATAAGCATTACGTGTAAGTTTCAAAATATTTGGTTGAGGTAAACTAAAGTTAGAGAACGGAAAACAACTACGGGACGTACGTACGTACAGACAGACAAGGGTAAAACTTAATGCCCCCTCCGTTATGGCGGGGGCATAAACATTATCACCACCTTTTTACATTTTTGGCATACCTAATATATAATTGACCTACAACTAATGCTTCCCCTTAAACCTAACTAATCACACACTTTGACAGGTAAATTATGCAAAAGGTTCAAAGTCAATAAACTCTGACTGAGGGGATGGGTCGAAATAATTTCCATGGAAATGAGATGTGCCAATCCAAATTCAACTGCATACCTAAAATATCAATGACCTACCACTAGTGGTTCCTCATATATATAAAAAGTATACCATTTCATGACAAGCTTCATTTTTATGCTTAGAAAGGTACTAATATGTCACAAGGACTTATTTACATACCATGTTTTCTGGCCACTGGAAGACCAATGGTCAATATAGACAACAAAGAATTGATGACCAGCATCCATGTTGAAGGTGATGGACAGCCATACTTGTAACTCAGTGGTAGTCTGAATGCCTGTAAAATACAAAAAAAAATCTTCTTCATACTCCATTCTCTAGTAAAATTATTTTTTTCCCGTCTCTAGCAAGATTCTTTTTTCCCATTCTCTAGTAAAATTCTTTTTTCCCTTCTCTAGTAAGATTCTTTTTTTCCTTTCTCTAGTTAAATTCTTTTTTTCTCTTCTCTAGTAAGATTCTTTTTTCCCTTCTCTAGTAAGATTCTTTTTTTCCCTTTTCTAGTAAAATTCTTTTTTTCCCTTCTCTATAGTAAAGATTCTTATTTCCCTTCTCTAGTAGGAATTTTTTCCCCTTCTCTAGTAAGATTCTTTTTCCCTTCTCTAAGTAAGATTCTTTTTTCCCTTCTCTAGTAAGATTATTTTTTCCCTTCTCTAGTAAAGATTCTTATTTCCCTTCTCTAGTAAAATTTTTTTTTTCCTTCTCTAGTAAAATTCTTTTTTTCCCTTCTCTAGTAAATTTTTTTTTCCCTTCTCTATAGTAAAGATTCTTATTTCCCTTCTCTAGTGAGATTCTTTTTTTCCTTCTCTAGTAAGATTCTTTTTTCCCTTCTCTAGTAAAATTCTTTTTTTCCGTTCTCTAGTAAAGATTCTTATTTCCCTTCTCTAGTAAGATTATTTTTTTTCTTCTCTAATAAAATTTGTTTTTCCCTTCTCTAGTAAAGATTCTTATTTCCCTTCTCTAGTAAGATTCTTTTTTCCTTCTCTAGTAAGATTCTTTTTTCCCTTCTCTAATAAAGATTCCTTTTTTCCTTCTCTAGCAAGATTCATTTTTTCCCTTCTCTAGTAATATTCTTTTTTTTTCCTTCTGTAGTAAGATTCTTTTTTTTCTTTCTCTAGTAAGATTCTTTTTTTTCCCTTCCCTAGTAAGATTCTTTTTTCCCTTCTCTAGTAAGATTCTTTTTTTCCCTTCTCTAGTAAAATTCTTTTTTTCCCCTTCTCTAGTAAGACTCTTTTTTTTTCCTTCTCTAGTAAGATTCCTTTTTTTCCCTTCCCTAGTAAGATTCTTTTTTCCCTTCTCTAGTGAGATTCTTTTTTTCCCTTCCCTAGTAAGATTATTTTTTCCACTTTTCTAGTAAGATTTTTTTTCCCTTCTGTGGTAAAGATTCTTATTTCCCTTCTCTATTAAAGATTTTTTCCCCCTTCTCTAGTAAGATTCTTTTTTCCCTTCTATAGTAAGATTCTATTTTCCCCTTCTCTAGTAATATTCTTTTTTCCCCTTCTCTAGTAATATTCTTTTTTTCCTTCTCTAGTAAGATTCTTTTTTTCCCTTCCCTAGCAAGATTCTTTTTTCCCCTTCTCTAGTAAGATTCTTTTTTTCCCTTCTCTAGTAAGATTCTTTTTTCCCCTTCTCTAGTAATAGTCTTTCTCTAGTAAGATTCTTTTTTCCCCTTCTCTAGTAATAGTCTTTCTCTAGTAAAATTCTTTTTTTCCCTTCTCTAGTAAATTTTTTTTCCCTTCTCTATAGTAAAGATTCTTATTTCCCTTCTCTAGTGAGATTCTTTTTTTCCTTCTCTAGTAAGATTCTTTTTTCCCTTCTCTAGTAAAATTCTTTTTTTCCCTTCTCTAGTAAAGATTCTTATTTCCCTTCTCTAGTAAGATTATTTTTTTTCTTCTCTAATAAAATTTGTTTTTCCCTTCTCTAGTAAAGATTCTTATTTCCCTTCTCTAGTAAGATTCTTTTTTCCTTCTCTAGTAAGATTCTTTGTTTCTTCTCTAATAAAGATTCCTTTTTTCCTTCTCTAGCAAGATTCATTTTTTCCCTTCTCTAGTAATATTCTTTTTTTTCCTTCTGTAGTAAGATTCTTTTTTTTCTTTCTCTAGTAAGATTCTTTTTTTTCCCTTCCCTAGTAAGATTCTTTTTTCCCTTCTCTAGTAAGATTCTTTTTTTCCCTTCTCTAGTAAAATTCTTTTTTTCCCCTTCTCTAGCATGTCTAGTAAGACTCTTTTTTTTTCCTTCTCTAGTAAGATTCCTTTTTTTCCCTTCCCTAGTAAGATTCTTTTTTCCCTTCCCTAGTGAGATTCTTTTTTTCCCTTCCCTAGTAAGATTATTTTTTCCACTTTTCTAGTAAGATTTTTTTTCCCTTCTGTGGTAAAGATTCTTATTTCCCTTCTCTATTAAAGATTTTTTTCCCCCTTCTCTAGTAAGATTCTTTTTTCCCTTCTATAGTAAGATTCTATTTTCCCCTTCTCTAGTAATATTCTTTTTTCCCCTTCTCTAGTAATATTCTTTTTTTCCTTCTCTAGTAAGATTCTTTTTTTCCCTTCCCTAGCAAGATTCTTTTTTCCCCTTCTCTAGTAAGATTCTTTTTTTCCCTTCTCTAGTAAGATTCTTTTTTCCCCTTCTCTAGTAATAGTCTTTCTCTAGTAAGATTCTTTTTTTCCCTTCTCTAGTAAGATTTTTTTTCCCATTCTCTAGTAAGATTCTTTTTTCCCCTTCTCTAGTAAGATTCTTTTTTCCCCTTCTCTAGTAATATTCTTTTTTCCCCTTCTCTAGTAAGATTCTTTTTTTTTCCTTCCCTAGTAAGATTCTTTTTCCCTTTCCTAGTAAGATTCTTTGTTAAGTTACTGTGGATTGATTATTATATGTGGGATACTATTTTTTGTGGATTTCATGATTGAGGTCAACAACAATATAAACTTTTAACAAAATAAAGGCTATCTATCATGTCTATAGGCTTGTATGCAGAATTTGTCTAAACCAATTATTATTTCAAGTATCCATAAAAAACATTTTTTTCCTCAATCCATGAAAACAAATGAATCCACAGCATATCTTTGGCCAAAAAAAAATCACTTCTTTGTGCAAGCTAGATTACATTCTAATGAATCTGAATAAATGCAATGATGTTAATTTTAAAAAAAAGCCAATAAAGCTGTCCTTCTTTATCTTTTTTAACATTCTAGAGTTTATATGAATCAAAAATATACTAGCACACTTAAGTACAAACCAATTTAATGAACCCAATGCCCATTATTAAATACTACAAATTATACCTTCAATACAGATAAAATGTACTACAACTGATAGTAAACAAAGTGACCTCTTGTGGTCAATTTTAGATCAGTCTGTGGTCACTTTTGAACATTACATCACAAGCTGACAGCATTAAATCACTTGGTGTAAGATAGTACATGTATTACTTGTCAACATATAGATAAAAACACCAGTGTCCTTTGGTGTATTGATTGTATTCAAATAAAGGCAAATGTAATTCTTGAGACAATTCAACTAACTTGGAATTGGTTCATGGTATATTCCTAAAATAAGCTTGTTGTGATTATAAAATATTGTAATAAAAGGAGGGTGTGGGTCATGAAATGTACTTCATATCTTATTTACAGTCCTGACAATATTGGTCACATCATATATACCTTTGAAAAAAATGTATGCTCAATGTACTAGGTACATATGTACCAGCATAACATTTCAAATCATAGGACCTTTTTGTTTTACAAAAATTGATCATTTTTTTAGGAGATAAAACTGGTTTAACAACTTACACTATAATCTGCAGTTGGTAAAGAATAGGAACAGACCATCCCTTATTGCACTGTTTACAGATTGAGAAGCCAAGATGTTCTTTATCAGTGACATCAAAACGTCTCTTCTAAATGACCTAAACCATGTTTAAAGGCGGGTGTTCCATTATCAGGTTAAAACTTTATTGTCATTTGAGTTAGAAAAATGTTACTGCTGTACTGAAAATGAATCTAAAGATGCAGGAGAAATTTTTATTAGTGATTCATGAGTGTCTGGATGAGTGGTCCTTCAATTCTGTATTCTATGATTTTTAAGCCATTTTTCTCTATTCTTTAAAATTTTGCCCAATATTTTCTATTCTTGATATTTCAGCATTCCATAATTCTGTATTCTTTATTTTTTTGGACTTTTTTTACTCTCTTCTTAATTTTTTGGACCATTTTTCTGTAGTAGTGGTCCATTATTCTATATTCTGTAAATCCCACATGAGTAGGTTTGATACTGAAAATGCTGACATCAAAGTTTAGAGATGTAACATTTTCTTTAATTATTATTTAGAATTTCCATTTTCGCAGCTTTAAAGAAACTGGGTAAAAAACATAATTTCTTGCACAACTAATTTTCACAAATTTTTCAAAATTATAAGATTTGATTAGCTTGACACAACATATTGTATCAAATTTTCTGACCAGTTAAATTTTACTTCACATTTCTGCTTTATTTAACTCCAAAGGAATGACATTTGTTGATGTGTTTATGTTGTTGGTGTGTTTATTTTGTTTATGTGTTTATGTTGTTGGTGTGTTTATTCTGTTTATGTGTTTATGTTGTTGGTGTGTTTATTCTGTTTATGTTGTTGGTGTGTTTATTTTGTTTATGTGTTTATGTTGTTGGTGTGTTTATTCTGTTTATGTGTTTATGTTGTTGATGTGTTTAAGCTGTTGATAAAGTGTTTCTCCTGAAATTCTAGTTTGTCTGTCTCTATATTTCTAAACCAATGTGCAAAATAGGAAGATGATAAAAGTTGTGTAGAAAAAGCTATACAGTTTTGAAAATAGAAACTGTATATATTGGTGGGTGTTGGTGCAATTTTATAAAACATCTGTTCATATAACAAGATGAGCAATAAAACAAGTCAACCTCAACCAACTGCATTTTTCATGTATTTATATGTCTATATGATAAAAAAAAATTATTTCTACAGCATGAAAAACTGAAAGGACTTAAAACGACGACCTATACATGATCATGACAACCTAAATGTAAAGCAAAGTGACCACAGTTGTCAAACAGACTGACCTATAGGCCATATAATTTACATGTACTATATCTAGAGGCCAAAAATATAGACCAAAAACATTTTAACTTCCTTAAGTATCTTCCTTTCAGAATATTCATGTACTGTGAATGATTTTTAAAATTTTATTCTAAGAAAGATATCATTTCTATTTTTCAATTGTGTCATTAGCCTCAATTTAATAACAATGTCAATTTCATCTAATTCAAATCAAGAAAAAA